CCTGTTTGCTATCCAACTTATGTAGCACTGTTCCCTACCTATGTTGCCCAGGCTAAGAAGTAAGTGCTTAATTGGTACTTTAACAGAAATCATCATGTGTTTCCATTATTGGTCAAGGTCTGGCATAGGTGGCAGTGGACCTATCCTCACAAGCTAGTCGACTGCAGTCAGGGATGATGAACATCATGTAACATTGTAGGCCCATATTAACACTAGGTGTGAGTTTGCCATTCTAGATTAGACTGAACCACATTTATGAGCATGTTGTTGAACTGTGTTGTAGTCCTGTAAATACTCTGTTACGTCTACAATCAGATCTATCGATGTGGGTGGGGGGGAATATGTTTTATTTGCAAGGCCATGGTTGTGGGCATTTTTTTGTTACGCTGACTTTTACTGATATTGTAGCTTGGCCTCAGTCACTACAGCATTGTTGTGAATATCAGTTTCCTACTAGATGGGCTAAAATGTGACCCTTCCCCCTTGCTCCAAATCCTCTGCTCTGTATCTCAGTTTGCCCATTAAGTGGCTTGCCAGTTCCACCCTAAGGTGAACTGTAAGGGAAAAAAATGTTTTGTCCTTGTCCTGTTGTATAATCTAACTTGTTTCCCCAAAACAATATCTATTTTGGATTGCTTTTGAAACAACAGGTTGTCACTTCCTGCTTGGTTCTGGGTGAGATGTTTAGAGGACATGAAGTGTAATGTCAGAGGAAGCGATAAAATGTGCTGCAGTTCTTTCACCCCCAACTAATTCTTATGTTGCCCCCTCTTTTCCTCAGCTGGTGGCAGGGAAAGCTGCAGTTCATATGACATCACAGTCAGAGCCTCTTAATACCTGGGTAAGACCCTCCAGCAAAGAGAGATAAGTAAAGTTGATATTTCCAATATCAAAAGCAAGTAGGAAAAACCAAGCAAGGGTCAAAACACTTTTAGTTTGCAATTTACTTTTATTATTATTATTGGATGCAAACTTTCTAGGACTGATGATTGATTCATGTTTATCCTCTGAGTGCCTTATTCAGCTCTGAATTATTTCCCCTTACACAATGAAAGCACGAAGAATGAGTATTTGTACTTGTTCTCCCTTACTGGCCTCTGCAGAAAACCTGTGAAATGGGGCATAGCTCTTTTATGAATAGGATCCCTTAGTCACTACCTCTGTGGGGGAAACTATATTAGAAGCCATTGCAGTAACTCAGCATGCTATTAGACAGCTTCCTAATTCTTATTGCATTTAAAAGACAGAATCTGAATTGCTGACTAAATATAACCCAGGTAACTAAAAATGTGCTTCTGAATATTGGTGTGGTACAGAGAATGTAGGGGAAAGAGTAGCTATGCTCCATTGTGTTTGAGCACACTACTGAATCAGTTACCAGCAGAGCACTGTTCATAGGCTTTGTGCAAGAGGGTTTTTTTTAATTCCCCCACTGTGTTGAATTTATTTCCATCAATACTCATTAACTAACTCATTTTTAAGTAGTTTCTATTTCTCCTTTACAGTAAAAGATTATTTCCATTGCTTAGCGCTTAGGCACATTAGTACATTTATAATGCTAAAATAGTTAAACCACACACAATTTATTTTTATAAATATAAAATTTATAAAAATAAATTGTGGGACAATATTTTACAAGGTAAATATTTGCCCAACTCCTCCTTCACCCCCCCCCATTTTTAAGGGTCCAGTACCATGAAAAGATCGATTTTGGGTGCATCCACTCCAGTAGTCTTTGCATAGAGAGGAGTTACATTTGATGCCTCTACAATACAAATGAAGCGTCACATAGGGAGAAAAAAGTTTTTAGTAATGGAAAGTATATATAGTCATAAAGAAAACCAATCCTGCTTCTAGTGACAATTGTTTTCAGTCCAGTCAACTCCATGACTAAAATAACTAAATTTCTTCTAGTCTTTTAGATTAGGATCTTTATACCAAATACATTCAGAACAACCCTCACCCTTGATCTAAACCTCCCTTGGGATGGTAGAGTAGACCAGCAAAGAAGTCTCTCCAAGAAATCCACTTAATTGCCATGGCATGGCAGAGACTTTCATGCAGTTTGCTGTGCTTGGTGTGAAACCTAGTCTAATGTCAGCGATGCCCCTTTGCTAAAGTGTTTCTTCAAATCAACAGGTCTCTTCTCAACACCTTTTTGTATGTGGACATAAGTTGTTTTGGTATTTGCAATACAGAATTGTCATAACACCATACAATGAATCTTAACAACAATAAGGGTCAGCAAGTGGCTTGTGCTAGGTAACGAGCTGGAACCACAATAATATCCTTTTTTTAGGGATGGGGAGCAGTTGGTGCTTTTTTCTTATATGCTTGGTAGCAAAAAGCCCTTGAAAAGATAAATACTAAGAGGTAAATGTTTGTCAGCTGATTATTTTAGCAGGCACATAATCCTTCCTTTGATGTCTACCAGGTTCAATGAAATCCTAGTACTACCAGGATTTAGTACTAGATATATTAAGATTTTTTTCTGTGATCTCTCCTGCAAGGGAAGCAGTAGTAAAATTTATAACAGTGTCACCTTAAAGGAATGCTTGTAAAAGCTCTCTGTATATTCTTAACTGTCCCATTTTTTTCAAAGGGTGGGGGGGAGGTTCCCTCTTTAGGTTACAAACAGTAAGTTTTGAAATATAATTAAGGGCCAGATGCTTAGCTGGTGTAAATCTACATAGCTCAATGGAGCTGAGTTACACCATGTGATCATCTGGCCTGGTATTTATAGTAATACAGTTATGAATGGGAATTACTTAATAGTCATGTGACTGTCATGTGTTCTGTCACAGGTCTCCCAATGTAATTTAGAAGTGTTAACTAGTCTTCCCACAATGCAGGAGCAAAGTTACTCCTATTATTACCATAAGGCAGAGTCACACTGTAGATGCCTACAGTTTCACTCTACTTTGGTGCTATGGCCATTAGAATATCAGTCCGAGGGGACAAGACAATTTGTTGGGAAGAGCTGAAGTGAAAACAAGCTCCCCCAATTTAAAATGTTAGCAAGGCTTGTGAAAATAGTGATACAAGCAGACTGTGTAACTAACTACATACCTTGTGTGTGTCCTACTAAAAGAAAAAAGAAAAAACCCAGGAGTTCTCTACACACTAGTGAGGAAGCTTTTCTTCCTTAGAACACCTCGTGTGTTCAAAAGCACAGTATCACAATCGGTACTAGATTTGATTTCAGACAGAAAAAGTTACACTTTTCATAGGCACATCTTTTTGCTTTAGGGCTCGACTCCTGTTCCTGCTGAACTGAGCCAGTATGTAAAATCAGAACTGATATCAGCTCAGTAGGCACCGGAGGACGGGTCCATCAACAATCTGGAACAGCAGCAGCCGTAAAAAATCATTTCCTGCAAACAATACATATTGCTAAGCAATAAGCATAGAGAAATCACTGGCTAAAACTTTATAAAGCATAGCTTTACAGACTTAAGTTGGTTTAGAACAAACAACATATTTGTCTCCAACTTTTAGAAAAGCATCGAGATTACATTACAATATGTATAAATTTTTCAGACTTATTAACTGCTTCTTTGCTTGTAGCCAAACCTGATAGTTTACAGTGCATTTCTTACATTCTTGACAGGAAAATCTGTTCTTTTCCAAGTCTCTACCATCTCTTATGCTCTGCAAGCTAGATTTCACACACACTATAAAACTATACCCCAACCCACTGTGTACCTCAGCCAGCAAACTACTTGGCCCCTGGGTAGGTTGACTTTTAAGAAGTTTCCCATCTCACCACCTCTTCAGGTGCAGAACTTAGCCACTGTGAACAAAGAGGAAATCAATCACTGTTCACCAATCAGCTAAGCTCTGCACCTTGTTAGAGAGGTCTTCGTCCCAAAGATCAGATGAAGGTCTTCAATGGTGCATTTTCTCCTTTTGTTTGAGTTTTTTTTGTAGAGGATTCCAATGCATATGGGAGATACGATTTTCATAATAGGAGGCACAGTCACGGTTATGTGGTAATCCCTGGCAATGTGATTTTAATCTTAAATCACAAATCAGCATGCCAGGAACCCAAACAGCCACAACATTAAGGGACACTTGTGTAGTCTCTCTCCCATCACACCATCAGGTTTAAAACAACAACGATTGTAAATCTGGTATCTTAAACACTTTCTGTGACAATATCTTTAAGATCTCATCTCCTTCAGGTAGCTGATTAAATAATTTTATTTAGATCACCCGTCAGAACCAAGCTGGTTATAGGACACATGAAGTAACTAGCATAGGAAAGTTACACAAAGGCAATCACCAACGGAGTTGTAAAAACTCCCCTAGGTATTTAAGAGACTCTTGGTAGAGAACACCATATATTGCAGCAGACCAAACCATTCTAACTGCATATTTCTGGCCCTTGGTGCCGTTAAAAACATTTGAAACCATTACAAATAGGCTCAGCTGTTAATAGTGTTTTTTTGTTTGGGGTTCAGTAGGTGTTTCTCAGCCTTGATGATCTGAACATGACTATGCATGCAAACATTTTGTAGTTGGTCTGCTACCTGTTTTAGACACCCCCCCCCCCACCATCACCACCCAATAACTGGTATGCTGGCACTAAGCCTATTCCAAACCCACCACAGTTTTCTTGGCAGGCATAGGCATATAGTCACTGTCTATGTACCAGAAGAACAGTGCTATTCATAAATAGCTTGTTTTTATAGCATGTTGAAGGGGACCTCAGCAAGAAAAAGGTTGAGAACCCCTTGATTAGGACATATACAGTGAAAATACTGGGGAACTCAGTGCTCCCCATAGGTATAGTTTTACTTCTATTTAGGGGGGCAAGGGCTGGGGGGGTTCAAGCCAGCTCCGCATAGCAGGGTCCAGGGAGGGAGCACCAAGACCACCCTGCCTGTCTGGGCTGTGGGGGAATGCAACCAAAAAAATAACTTGGGGGGGGGGGGGGGGCGGATGACTCAATTCAAAGTTTGAAAACCGCTCAGGGTGCAGGCAAGGGGGAGCTAGGGGCTGTGTAGGGGCAGCGGGGGGCACAGCCCTGCGCCGCTCCCAGCTTTGGGACAGGGGCTGCCACCTTCAGCCCCCCACCACTCCTGGCTGGGGTGGAGGGGTCGCCAGCTTCAGCGCTAGGGGACGGGGCACCGGGTTTGAGCCATGGGGTGCTGCAGCTCCCCTGAAAGGGCTCACAGACCCCTGATTGAAAACCACTCTCCTAGTCCATATAAATAAAATAAATGCCACAAACGCAAATGGAGCCTAATTTTAAGCATTGCCTACCTGTACAGGTTTGAAGGGAAGACGAATCAAGGGGTCCTGTTCAGTACCAAATACTGAGCAATGTTTTTGCTAAGTCGTTGTCTGAATTGTGTTACCACAAATCAACTGTAAAGTTATGTGAACAACCGAGGAAAACAGGCTGTCAGATGGCTTATATCATTACACAAAAATCTGCGGTATGCTGTACTGGAAAGGATCTTCATACCAAACCTAATTGACTATGGGTTAAACATGCATGTACAAACACCATAAAGTAATCTCAGGATATTCAAATAGGACGAAAGAAGGGAATATGTCACTATCTATATAGTATTTGGTGTAAAAAGCCAGTTTATATAATGTCTTTCATCGATGTGATTATACTTTACTTGCAATTTTGCTTTTTTTCACCCATGTTTAGTGAGATGACTTCTACTTTTGTCCCTTAGCCACTAATTTCAAGTAGAACCAGAAGCAAATCAAAAAAGCTATAAAATGTTTATCTTTATGTTACAGTCATTAGCATATCTTTATAAACAGGTACTTCCTAGCATAACCAACACTAATCTTACCTATCTCACACAAAATACTCAAAAGCATGTAAGCCACACTAATTTGAATCCAGAACCACGCTGGACAACTAGTTTGTAAGTGTATGAGTTCAATGCCTCATGTGGACACAGATTTTGTTAAACAACTCCAGTAATTGCCATCCCCTAGCAAGTTCATTTCACATTTTCTATTTGCAGGTGTGAGTGCAGCCATGTTTAAGAAGTGTTGTAAATGTAGATGTGTCTTAGTACAAAAACCTCTCTTCTCCGTGCTCCTCAACTAGATCCCTTGTGCATCAATGATCCGTTGCTCCAGCAATGGTGTGGGGGAAAAAAACATGCAAGAAATTTAATGAGTGATTCTTCGAGCTGAATATCAGCAAATTCTACATTGAGCCAGAGTTTATTTACTGCGCTGTGCATATTCTCTCACTAAAGAGCAGGTTGAGAATTAAATACTTTAATCAAGAAAAATCACCTCTTCAGAATAACATCTCTGCCACCACTTTGGCTGAGGACACATCCATTTGTTTTTGTGTTGCAGCAAAGCATTTATAGGCAAGTTCCTGCTGTTTTGCATCTTCATTCACCATTAATTCTCCATACAGGTAAACACCCATAGCCTGCAAGAGGAAGAAAACACCCCTTCATTCCGTAACCAATTACAGCTAGCTGGCTTGTTTTTAAAGACAAGCTTGTTTCACATAGCTCCCAACACAACGCATATTAGTACCCAATCTCATTTCATGTACAAAGCTATTTTTCCTTTAACAGGTACATATTTTTTTCTCCAAAATACAGTTCTCTGTCTGTCAGTCTCTCTTGGAGACTATTCAATCGGAGGAGGATTGTCGGTGTTTTATTAAGTATGTTACCAAAAGAACATTTACACTGGAGATTGATAATCAAGCTAGAGTCAGCATCTTATGTGGGGAAAATGCTTTTCTGCTGTTTCTTCCCCTGCTTTTCAGGTTGAAGTCCACATTCTCTCTCTCTCTCAGCCACCAACTGAGCTGTTTCCAAATGTCTCATGAGGGGGCAATTTGCCTTTCCTCTAACATGACAGAAATTTGAATAGTCTTTAGTTGATTTTCTTTCCCAGATGGGACCTTTCCACATGCAGGGATGGTCACTGGTATGTATCAATTGAAACAATCCATTCTGAGATGCCTACTTAATTTTGTTAACTGAAATCAATTGAAAATGATGGGTTTCTGTTTCAGGCTGGTCCCTTCAAGTGGATACACATACAGCAGTTACAACTCTGGACTGGTAGGAAAAGGCAAAGCTCTCCCTAATGCTGATTTTGAGAGTCTCAATCAGGAAGGAAAATTATGGGATGAAATCTTGGCCTTACTGAAGTCAATGGAACCAAGATTTCACCCTTGGTTACCATATCCTTTTCTGAAGATGCAAATCACTTGAGCTAGATTGACGCTGGTCCTGATCACAATGTGTCTACTGCCATAAACATGGGCTGCAAATACAAGTGTGGGTTTGCAAACTCAGTCCCCTTATGTTGACCGGAGTTTTTACAAATGTCGAGTTAACTCTTGCAGTCATGCCCAAGTGAACAATCCTGATCAGTAAGTGGTGGGTGTATGTTTTTATGCAATGTAACATACCATCTAGTGCCAGAAAGAATAAAGTTACCACTAAAAAATATACATTTTAATTTAATATTTCTTGAAACATTTATTTTCAACCAGCTCTAGAAATTATCATCAGAATTGGTCATTTGGCAAAATTAAAAAAGTGTTGTTTGCTGTGGAACTGAAGACTCTAGAGCTTCTCTGGGTTCAGCTCCTTAGCAGGCAGAGTTCCGTTCCTTGTCGCAGAGAATTGCTAAATATTTGGGTTTTGTTCCAAATCAGAATGAAACCGAATTTTGAAATATCAAAATCCTCCACAAAATGAAATATCTCTTTTTTGCACAGCTGTAATAATTTCACCCAAATCTCAAACATTAAAATGCAGTAAACACTGGTTTTCTGTTATCCCAAATTGGATTAGTCACATTTGCATTTTTTGCAGACTTTTAAAATAACGACGTTCTTTCGTGATAAGTAAGGCCAAGAAAGTGCTTTGATTTCACATGTAATCATTCCAGAACTTAGTTGTGCCACAAACTGTACACCCTGCTGGAGTAAATTACAAGAAGGATCTCAAAGATAACAGCTTAAAAACTCTGCAGTTATGATTTCAAAAATTCTTTCCTTACAAAGCAGAAAAACATTGATCCTTATCTGGCATAATCACCATTCTAAATATATTGCTGTTCAACTTGGCTTTTAATAGAGAGCTCAAGGATACAGTTGCTTTTCGTTTGCCTACCAGGGGCTGATGTGACAGCTTCCATGTATCTGAAATTGCACCCCTTTATATAAGACTTAAAATGTGCACAATACACAAACATATATTTTAAAAAAAAAATCTATGTAAACGGGTTTATCAGAACAAATTGTTCAGGAGACTAATAAGAGCTGCGCTGCTGTAGCAAGACAGAAAGTTGCAATCTATTGTCATGAAAAATACAGCATGTTCTCTGATCAGCCATTAAAAAAAATCTCATATGTTGCAAATAAAGTGTGAATTGTTATAATTTAGTATACTGAATGTAGCAGCACCAATAATGTCACTGTGTGTGTTGGGAGGATGCATGTACATATTTAAGTTAAAAATTGTGAGTAAAATAAATGTGAGTGATCTTGTCAGAACAGTGTGATTTAGGCCCTACTGCATATATGTAATATATACAAGAGGTAGGATTCTTTGACCTCATCAACAACTGAGCAAGAGTTTTACAACTATGGTTAAGCGTGTAGTTGAGGCTTACCCTAGTTATAAAACTATGTCCTAGCCTAAATCTCTACCTAAGCTATCATCTGGACTTTTAACTTGATTATAACAAGGTTTTGCTCCATCCACATTCATTGGTCAACCACTGTTAACTTGGTTTGGCTGAAACAGAGTTTAAATTGCTTAACCACCATTGTTAAACCAGCATCTTTTGCCTAGAAAGACAGGACCTTGGAAACTACTTTTGAATATTATAAAAGCCTGATAGTGTAGGTCTCAGATGCAGATATCTGACAATTCACAGCTAGAGAGTACTGTATATACTCGTTCATTAGCCCATTCATTTATAAGCTGACCCCCCCAAGATGGTTAGGTAAAAATAGCAAAAACTGTATGACCCTTTCATAAGCCGACCCTATATTTCAGGGCCTGAACGTTTTGTTTACCTGGAGCGTTCACAGTCACGGAGCCCCTCAGCTCCCAGTGGCCACGGTTTGCCGTTCCCAGCCAGTGGGAGCTGAGGGGCTCCATGCCTGTGAATGCTCCAGGTAAACAAAACGACAATGTATTAGATATTCAATTCAATGATTCCATAAGAGTTTAAAATCATCAAATTTTGGTGTACACCCGTTTATAAGCCGACCCACTCTCTTTGATGCGTCACTTTTTTACCAAAAATATTCATCGTATGAACGAGTATATACGGTAAGTTAAAATCAGTTTATACTCTGACACAACACAGGGTGATTATTTTGAAAATGTTGATAAATTAAACTGACCTGATCTTCCTTGAGGAATTTCTCAATGTCAGCATATCTTGCTGTATATTTGTGTTTAACAACAAGCTCACACCATCGATGTCGAACCTTTGGAAAAGGAAAATAAATATTAAACATGCATACTGTGTTGGTGTAGATATGCACTTGATACAATGTCACTCAACTTTTTAAAAGTTTAAAAAAAATTTTTAAGTGTTTTAGAGGAATGGCAGTTTGTGAAACATTTTCAAGTACTTCAGTAGGACTTGCTAATCTTGCTTAAAAATCTATGTGCCCCTAAATATGGACACAAATGAAGTTCCTATTTTTAAAGGCAGATGCTGTTTAGAGCCTTGAGTCATGTGCCTCTATAAACCATTAGATCATTAATACTCATCTGATACACTAAAAATAAAATGTGCATCTATAGTAGGATTTTTGGACCCCAACATATCTGGATAAACAAGCATCTGTAACTGTTAAACCAATCCCAATCACAACTTAAATGTGTTGAATCAGTGAGTCTGTTATTTTCAAAATAACTATTATTCTACAAAACTACTTTTAAAAAGTTACACTTAGCATTAGAATAAATAAATACTTTTTTCTTGTCTAGTTTTACAAAAGAGGAAGTTATTGCTTCAAAGCTCTGGAAGCAGATGTAAGATACAATTGCATTATTTCCTTTAGGCAAGTGTCTAACCTAGGGGACATGAGGCTAAAACACATTTTTGTACAAATTGTATCTGTGGGACAAGTGCTGCATCTATCCTGGGAGGAAAAGGATAAAAGGTAAATGAGAAAACATTAAATAAATAATTTACATTTCAACAAACCAAAGTTTTGCCAATACAGCTTGCCAGAATGTGTCTAACATCTATTCATGCTCAAGTTGCTGATTTGCTGTACCCAATGCACTTCAGTGAAAGCAGTTATTGGCTTATGCAAACTGTTAGAGAATAATATTGCTACTAAAATGGGCAATATGGCCAGTACATCTTTCGAATGCAGCTTCTTTACAAAGCTTTGGCATGCTTTATATTTCCTTGCATTTTGATGTTTTTTTGATTTGTTTTTAACCATTCACTTCTGTGGCTTTAAGTGTCATTTTACACTGCATCACGGCTTCTTCAATTATACTCAATGAGCAGTCAAACATTTTATATTCTATTATTGGCACAGCATTCGCTCAAAAAGAAAGCAGTTAAGTGCATTAAAAAACTACTTGTATTACAGCTTGCTTTTACTGCCTTTCAAGGGAGAGGCACTTTATAACAATCCATTTTTGCAGTAATAATAAAATATAAGTAGTTTCAATATTTTTGGCAGGTTGAGTCTAAATTATATAATTATCTACTAATCTTGCACAAATCACTTCTTAAAGATAGATTTACCGATTAAAAAACCAGGGAAAACGAAAGCTGGAAACAGGTCTTTTTTGTGAACAATTTGGAGGTAGAAGAGGATGCTTTAGTCAATTTCAAGTTGATGCAAGCTATTCCTTAAAGCCCTACAATCCCCCCAACTCTTTGTTCACCTTTTACCATTACTACAACAAGGGATACAATTTTGAACTTCTAAGGATTCGGCAGTCAGCCATCATCAGCTTTACATCACAGGGAGGAATTTCAGAGGCTTATACAACTGAATTGACAGTCTCATTAAAATCATTAACAAGTGATGAATGGTCACAGGCTTTAGAAAAATTCTCCTTGGGTCCTTGATTTCTTCAGTGTGGCCTCTTCCATAAAATTGCTGGAATGCAACTTCTGATTACAACAAGGGACTTCGGAAACTCAGGGTTGGGGGGTAGGTGTTTGGGCTCATTTATTAAACAAGTAATAACAAATATATAAAACAAACAATAAAAAGACTCATTGTGTGCTGGGGATGTAGTCTGTTTCTTAAAAGTTACTGCTGACAAGCTAAAAGTATTAGATTCCTAGATGCAGAACAAACTCTCTGGCTATAGAAATTATGGCAAATTTCCAAAACTGAGGTGCAGAGAATCACCAATCGGGGTAGAAGTAGCATGTCTGTTATCCTCAGATTGCATGTTCGCCTCCTATTTTCACAAAGCCGAAAAAGGCACTTTCAATGCAACAAACTGTAGGAGAACCAGTCATTATTAGCGCTTTTTGAAATACAATATTTCAATCATTCCCAACTGCTTTCTAATCCATCATATGTAGTGTATGTAGCCAGTAAACAGTGGCTGAAGATGGTTTAGCTGCTAGAGGAGTTAAGGCTTGCTTTGAGCATGTAGTGATCAAGTCTTTTTGTAACATGGCACCAAATGTAGTTTGTTCTAAACCACAATTGCAGCTAAACCAGTTCAGATACACATGCTATCAACACACCAACAGGTAATTTTTCTAGTATAGATCATGCGCTAATCCCTCTCACATTACGATTTTTACGCACATATGAAGGAGAGAAAAAAACTCCTTCAGTTCCTTGCTTTTCATCCAACACTTAAAGCAGGCTGCTTTCCTATGTAATTAATGTGTCATGTTTCTAGGCACTTTAATGAACATATATAAAAGGAAATATTGAAAACTAAGTAGTTTGTGGTGGGACAGAAGTAACCATACTCTATCCTGTGTAGGCTCTTCTGTATCCATCCCTCCCTGGTGCAAAGGAAGAGGGAAAGGGGAAGCAAAGACTCATGGGTGAAAATAAGAATTCACTACTCTTTTTCTCATATTGAGAGCCATGTCAGACTCTCCCTTCTTGCTCTACACATTTCTCTGTGCTCTTCTGCATAACTCAGAGAGATGCACCGTATGTTTTTTTGGCTAGTTATACCATATTCAGCACAAACTGAACCTGAAAAGTAATTTATAGCAACTCTTCCTGTTGCTGCTGGCAGAGTTGATTGTGCTTTACTTTGTCTGACTCTTATGTACTCCAGCTCTGAAATAACACCTGTAACCACGCACAAACACTGGGTCTGGGGTTGGCAGCTGCAGGACATACATGCCAAACTCTGGAATGCAATTTATTTTTTCAGCCTCAGAAACTAAGTTTATGGTTGTCCTTTTGACTGTCTCAACTTCTGCCTGATGCTCAGGAGGAGGGAGGAAAAGTGATTTGGGGGAATGTAGAACTGACTGCAGGTCTTGTAGGAGGTCAGGTTCCTGATGGATCATCTTGAGCTACTAAAAATGTTCTCCCCTTCCAATTGGTATTATGGATTATGCTGAAGTGTCTACCAATTTTCCATTCAATAGCTGAAAATTTCCTGTACATATATATGAACTTTGCAACACATCCCACAATTTTGTCAGCACAATTTGGGTTCATGGACTGTTGCAGATATGTCATTTGAAAACATGCCATTTCAATTTAGTAATCAAAGGAAGTTATCGGAGTGGAGGGTTATTTTGTTTTGTTTTACTATCCTTAAGACCAAAGTCTTAAATGGATGCAGCTGTGAGGTTGCATTGAGCCCCAAATTTAAAGCTTTGTTTAAAAAAAAAAAGAGAGAGAGAGAGAGAGCTTAAAAAAACAAAGATCGATAAAAAAGTTCATTTTTAACAAAAATTCTAAGTGCTGTTCACAACCCAAACACTGTAGCATTTTGCTAGTACAAATGAACTTGAAAGTAAAACTGACTAGAAACCAAAGTGACACTGATTAGTTTATTTTCAAACCCAAAAAAGTAAAATTCAAAACAAAAAGTAAAAAAGTAGCTAATTAACATAAAAATAAATTCTTAAATCAGTTATTACTAATATAAAGAAAATTTGTTTTTACAAATATGAGCCAACATTTTTTTTAAATGGATGCTTAAAGTTGGGATACTAAATCCATATTTAAGTGCCCTGATTTTCAAGAATGGTGAATGCCCAGCAGCTTCCCAATGACTTTATGTTTGAAGACAACATTTTTAGACCATCTCAAACAGTCCTTGAAGTGAAGCAATCACTTTTAGTATTTGAAACCCACCTACCCTCCAAATGATTACAAAAATCAAACAATGGCCAGACAGGCATAGTTAAAATACACATACAGCTTATACAATATATTGTAATGATCAAGGTCACTGAAAGCCTCCATCATACACATGCAAACAAGGAAACATACATGCAGAAAATATTTTACCTCTGAGGCTTGCAAATAAGATTTAGAAAGCAAGTAATTTAGACCATGCATTTTAGTAAAAACAAAAAAAATCTAAAAAGTTTGTACTAAGCCTTTGGTCTGCAGAATGGAGACTAGCTTCGGGGGAAATGAGTAAATATTACTAATAGCTGGATCCAATTAAAAAAGCTCCAGGAGACAACAAATCTAAATCTCAGAACAAAAACATGTTTTGAGACCCTAGAAAATAGAGGGTTTTTTAAACCTGAGTATACTTTTAGTAAGTATTATTGTCCAACTAAAGTTCCAAACAGAACATAACTTGGACCAAAAAGACTTCTAAGATATTTACCAACCATGTGTTCAACTACACTATTGAAACTAAACGCATGTAATATGAAAAGTTAATCAAAACTATAAATACTACAGTAACTAACCACAGATAAATCCATGGAAATATAATGGACAACAGGAGCTAGAGATTCTTTGCAGACTTCAGTCTTCTTGCAGAAGGAGAAATACAAAGAAACTTTTGCAACTAATCAAACAATGGATTATTTTTAATTAATGAGGAGGAAGCTGAATATCTCTGGAGCCCTGGAATGCTGGCCTGTTGATTAGATCATCACCGATTTCTTCCATCTGAAATTATTTATTTCCTTTCAGCATAATTCTCTCTTCCTAGCTTCTCATAAATTGGATTCAGCTATACTATCTTCAGGGATAATTAGTGAACGCTGCTGAGTGCCGCAGACTAACATTTTGGATTTAAAAGTAGTTTTTACAATTGGTTAGGGCAGAAAACATAGGGTTTAGAAAACTGCCCACACTTTGCCCCATTATTGTAACAAAATATTTTTAATGATTTAATGATTTTTCTATATCCCTGTACCCACTTAAATTTTAAAATAGCTGAGATGGCTGCTATTTTAAATTGAAATTAAGTAGTTGCACCCACTAGGTTTCATGCTGTAAGGTTTGGGTTTTTCAAATGAACATTAGTATTTGGTACTCAGACTCAG